ACACACACACACACACACACACACGCACACACACACACACACACACACACACACTCACACACACGCACACACACACAACAGATTGCACAGAACGTCTCGCCCGTGGACGATGATGGCGAAGGTGACGGCCCAAAGTTCCGCAAGATTGTCGACTATCCACAGAGCAACCTTTTCCGAACAGACACCGGCATCACCGAACTCGACGTGTGTATCTGTGTATGTGTGTGTGTTTCCATGCTTGTTAGTTTGTTTGTGAACGTTCGTGTGCGTTCAATCGTCTGTTTGTTTTCCTCACTTGACACGATCACGCCTTCGCTTTCGTTGCCCACCTTCCCCTGCTGCTCCGTGTCCTTGCACGCAGTTTTTCGCGCTGTCTGCCTCTGCGGACCAGGAACCGGACCCTGGCGCCGACAAGAGCGGGACCACCAAGGCAGACAAGGATGCACCGCACGCGACACAGCAGGACGATAACAACACGCCACCCACCGAGCACACCAGCGAACCGAATGTGTGTGCATACGTGTGTGCATACGCGCGTGTGTGTGTGCGTGTGTGCAAGTGACCGTGTGTGTGTGCGTGCGTGCGTGCGTGCGTGCGTGTGTGTGTGTGTGTGCGTGTGTGTGTGTGCGCGTGCGTGCGTGCTTGCGTGCGTGTGTGTGTGTGTGTGTGCGTGCGTGTGTGTGTGTGTGCGTGCGTGTGTGTGTGTGTGTGTGTGTGTGCAAGTGACCGACTGACTGCCTGACCGACTGACTAATTGACTGACTGACTGTCTGACCGACTGACTGTCTTGTCTGACTTGTCTGACTTGTCTGACTTGTCTGACTTGTCTGGCTGTGTCTTTTGTGTTCGTCGCTTCGTGCGTGCGTGCCCTCACTTGGAATCCACCTGCTCCCGCTTGGATGCAATGATGCAGGTGTGTGATGATGTCGAGTTTGGCCGCAACTGCATGGCCATTGTCGACACAGACCGCCTCCACTACGCACAGGTGTGCACACGTGTGTGTGTGCACTTTTGCACATGTGCGTGAGGGTGCTTCTCTCTCAAATCCTCACGTTCCCAACATACACACACACACACACACACACACACACACACACACCCTGCAGGACCACGGGTATAGCACGCTCATGTCGGCGCTTGTGCCCATCACATGCACCCCGCGCAACAACATCATTGTCGGCTGGCCAAGCACTGCCGAAGGAAACGAAGAAGCAGAAACAACCAGATAGCAGTGCAGTGCCACAATTTCATAAAAACACCAACAGTGGACACGAACATACACCACCATGCATCATCATCCACACACACACACACACACACACACACACACACACACACACACACACACACACACACACACACACACACACACACACACACACACACACACACACACACACACACGCACGCACACACACACACACACACACACACACACACACACACACACACACATCCACTCACGCCTGCGTGTCAAATGTCAAATCGCCAGTCATCATTTTCACAAGTCACAATCATCTGACGCGATTAATTGGGTTTCTGCTTGAAGATTTTTCTTTTTGGCGCGTAGAAATCGTGCAATTCCTCCATTTTCAGCACGCCACTCAAGCGCCCGCGCCAAGCAAGATCACACGCACACTCACAAGGCACAAAGCAAGCAACCCCCCCCCCCCCACACACACAGTGATGATGGAGACGCTGCTGCGTGTGGAGGGCATGACCTGCGGGTCGTGCGCGTCGAGCGTCAAGGCGTGCATCGAAAAGGTGATGCAAGGGGAGCCGTTCACAGCGGACGTCTCCGTGGCGGAAGGAACAGCAATGGTGCAGCACCCAGCTAGTGTCAGCGCCACCGCCATCGCCGAGGCCATCTCAGACATCGGCTTTGATGCGCGTGTTGTGTCATCCAGCAACACGCAAGGTGACACCACCACCGCCGCCGCCACAACAACGATCGAGTTCAACTCACCCCTCATGCAGGGCTTGCAGGAGAACATGAGCTTCACACCGGTTGACAACGACCAAAACGAGCAGCAGGCACAGCGGGCTGCCGCCACAACCAACCACGACGACCACGACGACGACACCGATGGCGACGTGAAGACATCACGCATTAGCGTGGACGGCATGACCTGCCACTCGTGCGTTGGCAACATCACAGATGTCCTCTCCGACACCGCGGGCATCGTCGATGTCGACGTCAGCTTGCAGGACAAGCTGGCCACCGTGAAGCACACCACGGCGATCAGCGCCCAGGCCATCGCAGACAGGATTGACGACATGGGGTTTGGCGCCGCGCCTCTGGACGCTGACACCGCGTCCGAGGAGGACACGTGCCAGCTGCTGCCCCGCTCCAAGTCGCCAGCAAGTGAAACGAAGAAGGCTGCTCCTGTCGATCGCGAGGTGCTGCCCGCCGAGGACGAAGACGACGACTCGGACGCCACACGCGAACTGCTGCACTTGCGCATCGAAGGTGTGTGTGTGTGTGGGGTGGGGTGGGGTTGTGGGGCTGTGTTTGGGATTCTTTGTGTGTGTGTACGTGTGTGTGTGTGTGTACGTGTGTACGTGTGTGTGTGTGTTTGGTTTTTTTTTTGTGTGTGTGTGTGATGGCTGTGTGTGATTGCTGACTGTATGAGTGGAATCGAGATCATGGGATTGTGTGCATCCGTTTGTGTGCGTGTTCATCTCGGCGGCTGAGGCGCCTCCACCCTACGGCTCACACACACACACACACACACACACACACACACACACACACACACACACACACACACACACACACACACACACACACACACACACACACACCACGCGTGCTGGCAGGCATGTCGTGCGCGTCGTGTGTGGCGGCCATTGAGACCCGCGTGGGCAAGTTGCCCGGGGTGCTGCGCGTCAACGTCGCGCTCCTGGCAGAGTCTGGCGATGTGGTGTATCTCCCAGACAAGATCAGCCCCGACACCATTGTCTCGTGCATCTCCAACGCGGGCTTCCGCGTGCAGGCCACCCGCTCGAAGGAAACAGACACGGTTGTCCTGTCCATCAACCTGCCCATCAAAAAGAGCGACGCCGACACCATCAAGGTACTGTGCTACTGTAGGTGGTGGCTTCCGTGTGTTGGTTTGTGTGCTGAGATTTATGTTTAGATGTGCGTGTGTGTGTGTGTGTGTGTGTGTGTGTGTGTGTGTGTGTGTGTGTGTGTATGTGTGTGTGTGCTGTTGTTGAGCTGCTGCGTGAACCTTTTTCTGCCACATCCCTCCCCTTTCTTACTGCCACATCCCTCCCCTTTCTTACTGCCACATCCCTCCCCTTTCTTACTGCCACATCCCTCCCCCTTCTCACTGCACATCCTCCCTCCTCCCTTGCTCACTACACATCACCCTCACCATTGAAACACCAACGAATTGCAGGAGAGGCTGTCGGCGCTGCAGGGGGTGCTGAAGGTGGACGTGGCCGTGTCTGACGCGCGCGTCTCTGTCGGCTACAACTCGTACGAGACGGGACCTCGCGACGTCCTGAAGTGAGTCTCAGTGCAGGCCAGTCTCTGTGTTGTGTGGTGTATGGTGTGTGCGTGTTGTGTGTGGTGCGTGGTGCGTGGTGTGTGGTGTGTGTACATATAAATATATATTTTTATACATATATTTGTATATGTATACACACCTCTCTCTCTCTCTCTGTGTCAGCGACATTGCACGCAACTGCGCGAACGTGTCGCCAAACCCCATCCACAAGACCAACGTGTGCGTTTGCTCACCCCACTTGTTGTTGTGCGCGTGTTGCAGCGCCGTGAACAACCTTGGATACGAGGCCGAGCTGGACCACAGCGACCAGCCCGACTACACGCACAAGAGCTCCATCCGCTTCTGGCGCCACACCTTCATCGCCGTCGTTTTCTTCTTCATTGCCGTGATGATGGTGCGCATGTGGCCAAAGTCGTGGGACGCGCGCATCACGGACGGCCTCTCCGAACGGAACCTGGCCATTCTGCTCATCTCCCTGGCTGCCTTCATCCCGGGTAAACCGTTTCTCGACTCGGCGCTCGCTTCCGTCCTGCACGGCTCTGCCAACATGGACGTCCTCATCTCCCTCAGCGCAATGTAACCCGCTGGCTTCTGTGCGTGTGTGTGTGGGTGTGTGGGTGTGTGTGTCTGTCTGTGTGTCTGTGTGTCTGTGTGTATGGCTGTGTCTCTGTGTGTGGCGATGTCTCTGTGTGTGTGTGTGTGTGGCCATGTCTCTGTGTGTTCTTGACTCAAGGCGAACTTGTGGTTGCCAGGGACAGGGTATGTTGTCAATTTGCCAATCAACTGCACGCACTTGCACTAACTCACATACTCACACACACACATATACTCTGCACAGCGCTGCGTTTGTGTATTCGCTTGTTGTGCTGATTGTGGCCATTGCGTCGCGCGAGGACTCTGGCGGCGGCGACCTCTTCTTCGAGACGGGCATCATGCTCTTCACCTTTATTGCCCTCGGCCGCTACATTGAGCACATTGCAAAGGGCAAGACCTCGGAGGCTCTCTCCCACCTGCTGTCCCTGCAGCCGCCACAGGCGCTGCTGCTGCAAGAGGACGACGACGGCAACGCTGTCGAGGAGCACATTGCCACCGAGCTCGTTCAGCGCGGCGACAAAATCAAGGTGCGCCGTCTGTCTGTCTGTCTGTCTGTTGTCTATCTGTGTGCCTGTGCCTGTGCTTGTGTGTGTCTGTCTATGTGTGTGTGTGTGTCTGTCTGTGTGTGTGTGTTTGTGTCTGTGTGTCCGTGTGTGTTCATGTGCCTGTGTCCATGTGCCTGTGTCTGTGGTGTAGTGTCCATGTGTCTGTGACTTTGTGTCTGTCAATTATTTTCACTACACGGACAATGTCTTCCTTCGTTCGCCCATCACCCCTCTCCCCCTCCCCATGTCCTTGCCGTCCCATGTACACTTCCTCACACAACCGCCACACTCATGCAGGTGCTGGCTGGGGAGAAGGCGCCCGTGGACGGGCGTGTCGTTGCCGGGCGCGGCGAAGTGGACGAGTCGATGATCACGGGTGAATCGCGACCCATCACCAAGAACATCGGCGACACTGTCATGGGCGGCACCATCCTTAAGACGGGCGTGCTCACGTTTGAGGCGACACACGTCGGCAAGGACACCAGTCTCTCGCAGATTGTGCAGCTCATTGAACAGGCGCAGATGTCAAAGGCCCCGATCCAGCGCATTGCAGGTGCGGCCACTGTTTTGTTCTGTGTGTGTGTAGGCCGGGGGCTTGTGTGTGTGTGTGTGCATGTGTATGCATGTCTGTGCGGATGAGTTCGTATTCGTGTGTGTGTGTGCATCTACACATCGCAAGTTCCAGTTGTGGCCTGAACACACACACACACTCACTCACTCACTCACTCACTCACTCACTCACTCACACACACACACACACTCACACACACTCACACACACACACACACGCCCACACACACTCACTCACTCACACCCGCGCACCCACTCACTCACTCACTCACAACAACAACGACAGACAAGATTGCTGGGCGCTTTGTGCCTGGCATTGTGCTGATGTCCATCATCACCCTCATCATCTGGCTCGCCCTCCTCACCACGGGCACTGTCCACTCGGACGAGTCAGACTCCAAGACGGCCTTCCAGTTTGCCGTTGCCGTGCTCGTAATTGCGTGCCCCTGCGCGCTTGGCCTAGCCACTCCCACAGCGGTGATGGTGGGCACAGGCGTTGGCGCACGCTTTGGCGTTCTCATCAAAGGCGGAGAGGCCCTCGAAACAGCCCACAAGGTGTGTGTGTGTGTGTTGCGTGTTGCGTGTTGCGTGTTGCGTGGTGCGTGTTGTGTGTGTTGCGTGTTGCGTGTTGTGTGTGTGTGTGTGTTTTTTTTTTTTTTTTTTTTTTTGTGTGTGTGTGTGTGTGTGTGTGGAGATCTTGCCTTGCCTCAACCTTGTTCAAGTTGCACAACATACCCTTCGCCCGCCGTTTCCTGTGGTCAAACTCACCTTTTCATGTCGTGTCGCTCGCTGTGTTAAGGTGACGACGATTGTGTTTGACAAGACCGGCACGCTGACCAAAGGCGAACCAAGCGTCACGAAAGTGGTGGCGTTCAAGAAACCCACGAGCGACGACAACGCCGTCAGCAGCGAAGGCAGCAGCGCGGCCAGGGCCCTTGGAAAGGCGATGAGCGAGGACGAGGTGCTGCAGCTTGTTGCTTCGGCGGAGGTCGACAGCGAGCACGTGCTTGGGCAGGCGATTGTGGCGCACGCCACGGAGCAGTTTGGGGCTGGCTGCCTGCGCCCTGCTGCGGACTACACGACGATTCCCGGGCGGGGCATCAGCGCGACCATTGAGGGCGTGGCGGTGCTGGTCGGCAGCCCGTCGCTGCTGGACGAGAGCGGCATTGCGGCGAGCGACGACGCGCGGGCACAGGTGCACGCACTGGAGGAGCAGGGCAACACGGTCGTGCTGTGCAGCGCAGACGGCGTGCTTGTCGGGTGCGTGGCGCTCGCGGACCAGTGCAAGGAGGACTCTGCGCAGGCTGTGCGGGTGCTGCAGAAGCAGGGCCTGCGCACGGTCATGCTCACGGGCGACAACGAGCGCACCGCCAAGGCCATTGCAGACCAGGTTGGCATTGACACGGTGTTTGCGGGCGTGCTTCCGTCCCACAAGGCGGCCAAGGTGCAGGAGCTGCAGGAGCAAGGGGAGGTGGTGGCCATGGTTGGTGACGGCATCAACGACGCGCCCGCGCTCGCTGCTGCGGACCTGGGCGTGGCCGTCGGCGCAGGCACGGACGTGGCCATTGAGGCCGCAGACGTCGTGCTGATCAAGGACAACCTGCTGGACGTGTTTGTGGCGCTGCACCTGTCCAAGGCAACGGTGCGCCGCATCCACTACAACTTCATCTGGGCCATTGTGTACAACGCGATTGGCGTGCCCATTGCTGCGGGCGCGCTGTATTCGCTGGGCGTGGTGCTGACGCCGATGATGGCCTCTGGGGCGATGGCTGTGTCCTCCGTGTCTGTGGTGTGCTCCTCGCTGTTGCTCCGCCGCTACCGCAGCCCGACGTCGCAGGAGATGGACGACGCCTCCACGCTTGGCCCGCGCACCAAGCAGCGCACCCTGCTGCAGCGCCTGTTCCCCATGCAGAGCCGTCGCAACGCGCGTCGCGATGGAGGGCGACAGCTGCGGCAGCGACCCCGGCGCCTGGACCTGCGCTCGCCAACCGTGGATGGCGGGCCGTCGTACCAGCGCGTCGCGTCCACGTCCTCGGTCGTCACCTTCGCCTCTGTTGGCTCCTCCACCTCCGAGGTGTAGCCAGCGCGAAAACGAAACGACCGCGTGGTTGTTTGTTTGTGCCTCTTGTGTGACGTTGGTGTGTGTGTGTGTGTGACGTTGGTGAGTGTGTGTGTGTGTGTGTGTGCGTTTGTGTGTGCGTTTGTGTGTGTGTGTGTGTGCGTTTGTGTGTGTGTGTGTATGTGTGTGTGTGTGTGTGTGTGTGTGTGTGTGTGTGTGTGTTGTGTGTTGTGTGTGTGTGTGCGTTTTATGCGCGTGACGTGCTGAGTGCTTTTGAGTGATGATGTGTCACCTCAGCCCCTATTTGTTACATGATGTGGTGATCGCTGCCGTTATTGCGTCTTTGCTTATTGTGGCCTCATGCGTGCCTGTGGGCGACGTGGTTCTTTGCTTCTTACCTGCTCTGTCTTGCCTCGTTGCCTTGTTGCCTGTTGTTCTTCCTTCCTTGCTCTGCTTCTTCCTTCCTGCACTTGCTTGCCATAAACCTTGATGATGACGCAATGCTTCGTCACAGCATGACGCAATCGAAGCTTTCAAGCAAGCGACAGCGCCCACAAATACGAAATTGCATGATGGGGATGAAGTTGCTCTGTTGCTGCAGCCACAAGCAACAATGCGTCGCCTCGATTGTTCCATAGTTGGTGGTCAGCGAGTCGTGCTTGCTTCATTTCTTTCTTCCACCACAAGTACACACACACACACACACACAGGATGAACGCTCGCGTGTTTGTTGCGGTGCTGACCGTGCTGCTGAGCTGCTCCACAGCTGGCGTGCTTGCTGAAATCTGCAACCTCAACCGGCCGGTCGAATGTGCTTCCTTTCAATTCTCATGGTGTGTGTGCCTCTGTGTGTGCCTGTGTGTGTGTGTGTGTGTGTGCCTGTGTGTGTGTATGTGTGTGTGTGTGTCGTTCTCTGTGTCCATCCGCCTTTGTTGCGTATCTTCCTGTCTTGCCCGTTGACCAAGCCTGTGCCCGCCCCGGTGTTCCATCCCACCTCCCTCTCCCCCCCCCATTCTCCTCACATCTTTCCCCTCTCCTCCGCCCACTTCCTCGGCTCCCTCTCCTCCACTCATCATCCTCCGCAGCCCGACAAGCTCGCATCACCATCATGAGGACTACTGCTGTCGCACTGGAAGCTTCAGTAGCAACCCAAATGGCTGTGATAACGTGAGCACCCTGTCATGTGCACCCGCTGTGTGATGGAGACAAGCGAGTGAGGCAAGCAAGGCGACCTGCTTGCTCTCTCTTGTGTCGTTGATGGCTCTGCGTGCTCGTGCGAGCATTCAGCGCCAACAAACCACAACACTGCACGCACTCACGCGTGTCTGACGTCGTGTGTTGTAACACACTGCAGGATTGCTGTGACTACTTCCTCTCCGGCCACATCATTGGCGGTAAGTGCGACCATGTCGCTGTTGCTTGCTTGCTTGCAGGCAACAACAACAACTGTGCATACACATCTTCACTTGCTGGTTTTCGTTCGCGCCTTCGCTTGCGTTGCAACTTTGGCTCACACGTCTTCACGTCCACGCAAACACACCACACACACGCACACACACGCACACACGCACACACCACATCCATACACGCACACACACACGCACGCACACTAAATCCATACACACACGCACACGCACGCACACCACATCCATACACAACACGCCCCCCCCCACACACACACATCCACGTCTCCTGTCTTCATGTCTCTGCAGCCATTGTGGGGACCATTTTCTTCGTTCTGATCGTCTGTAAGTCCCCGTCAAGTGCAAGCCTGCAAGCGTTGTGTTGTGTTTCCACCATCACTGCCTCAACAACCACTCACAAGCCAGCAACTCCCCCCCCCCAACCCCAAACAGCTGCTGTTGTCCCAGTTTCGCCCCCACTCCCATGTCCTCTACAATCATCTCACAGACCCTCTTCACCCCCCCCCCTTCGCCTTCTTTTCTCTCCCCTCAGCTGCCATCATGTACTGCTGCTATGCTGGGGTCTTGTGCTTTGCCGGGCGCGATGCACGCGACGGCAACGCAACCGTCATCACCACCACCACGACCAGCCCGCCCGTGGCTTCCAGCTCACAGCCGCCGCCGTACTCCCAGTACCCGCAGGCGTCCCCTCCTCAAGGCTACCCTCCACAGGGCTACCCAGCGCAGGGCTATCCACAGCAACAACAACAACAAGGCTACTACCCTCAACAGCAACAAAGCTACCCACCACAGCAACAACAACAAGAACAGAACCTTGCATACCCACCACAGCAACAGCAGCCGTATGACAAACCCTACTGAGAAGCCATGGAACTTGCGCGCGATTGGAAGCTGCACGTATGCCTTGATGTGATGCTTTTGTTGGACTCGGGCTGACAGGCGTTCGAGGACGCCATCAACTGCCCACTCCTCAACTCCCGTGAACCCCCCCCCCCCTTTTCCTTGCTGTGATTGTTTCATGCATGCTGTACACTGATGCACGTGTTGTTCGTTTATTGCGTGGACAGCAGCCTGTTAACATCGTGTTCTGCCTGGTGCACTGTATCCCTTGCCTCTGTTATGCGAGTCGCACCTCTTTGCCAGCGCTCCAATCCATAGTAGACATTTTTGTGAAGTGAGACAAGACATGAAACAAAACCGACAACAAACACCAACGCACAATATACGCATCCAAGCTAGCCGATGTGCGAGTGTTTACGACGTGGAAGGGGCCGGTGTTGCTTCTGCCGACGC